CAAAATAAAACAACAATAATACCAACAAGCCAATGACAAAAAAAAAAACAAACCCACCAACAACAAGAAAGAAAAGCTTGTAGCTGGTTCAAGGACTGGATGAAGGTTTACAGAGCAGACCATCCGTTTTACATTCAGCAATTAGACACGTTGTCCTCCATCTATTCTACTGTAATCCCCACAAAGTGCCACCACTTCCTCCCTGGGTTGTCTTTCCATCTTTTCTTTCCTAACCCTCAGCTCAGTCCTTGTGTAAATGCTGCCATTGTGATCTTAAGTGCTGATTACTCTAGGGTGCTAGGACCACACTAGTGTAATTGTTCCCCTCCCAGGGGGTTCTATTGTTTGGCTGAAAGTTGAACCTTAGCGGTGACTGGTTCACTTTCATACCTGAAGAGTGATTTAAGAGCAATAGTCTCAAGGGTTAGCGATAAGCTTTTTTTTTTTTTTAATGCATTCGTAATAAAAGAGATACTGATTGATGGAGGGGCTGTGTTTTATAAGATGAATCTCGCTGAAAAAGTGAAATTTATGTTTAAAATCTGAGTACCTGGAGATCCCAGGCACACTTTAATTTCTTTAACTCTAGGAAATAAAGGTTTAAGGCCTTTATAGTTTTATCGTCTAATTTGGTCGAAGTCTCTTAGCCTGCTGCACTGGAAGCAGGCAAAGGTGTCTGCAGAGGCCCTCAGAAACTCAGGGACTCGCCTGACTTGTATGAAAAATCATGTGCTTAAGTACTTTATCCGGGTCCATAAACTTTCAGCAACTTGCCACGTCTGAAAGTGGGCCAAGCCCCATGCTAGGTCCAGAGGGAGGCAATAAGACGCCGGGGTTTCCCAGCCCGAAAGCAAGCGAGACCAAAGGCAAGACTAAGAAGCTTTAATAACCCGCGGTTGGGACAAGCCAGCGGGCCCGGGCCTGGGGAGGCAGCAGGGTCAGCTGCGGCAGCAGAAAAAGCGCACGTCGTTCAGTGAGGTGTCGTCCAGGAGGCCTCTAGGCCTTTCGACCTTGCTCTGCAAGCCGCACACGCCTTTGGCGCAGGGGTCGCTCCAGTCTCCAAACTCTCCCCAGGTCAGGCCAGGCCCCTCCAACTCTGCGCCGTCTGAGCAGCGGAAGCGCACGTTGTTCACCGCGGTGTTGTCCCCCGGGGGCGTGGGTGCCTCCACGCGAAGTGAGAAGGCCACCAGGTAGCCGCCACTCGGGCACCACTGCGGCTCACTCCACGCGCCCCACCTGGGAGAGAAGCGGTGTCCCCTGGTTCTACGGAAGCCCCCCCCTCCACCCAGCTTCTAGACTGCTCCCCCAGCCCCCGGGACTCCCCAGCCAGGAAGTGCAGAGGGAGGTCTTCCATTCTGTTCCTTCCTCTAGACTTAAAGGGCTTGGAGGCACCCGCCACCCCACCAGGGGAGGTGGTGTAATGGAGGGCAAGGGGGTACCCTACCCTAGGGGATATTTAGCTCCAGCCTACCACCTCCCTCCACCCACCCGCGCACACACACACCTGCCGGACCGGGACTCCACCACGTGCTTGTTGCGCTCTGCGTTCCCCCGCGCACAGTGCAGGCGGATCCCGTTCACAGCTGTGTCGTCGCCAGGAATGCCTTGGGGTGGTTCCACCTGGGAGAGAGGCAAGGAGGGGTCCGAGGGCTGCTTTCAGAGGGTCTGGGATCCCTCGCGCCTCCACTTCTCCAGGCCCGAGCCCCCTCACCTTGAGCGAGAATCCGCAGGCGAAGAATCCGTCGGGACACATATCGGGCCAGGCCCAGTCGCCCCAGGGGCCTCCGTTGGTCACCTCAATGACATTCGTGACGCTACTCCTCTGGTCCCCTCCGGCCAGTCCGCAGCGAGTCGCCCGCAGCAACAGCAGCAGCAGCAGCCGCTTAGTCTGGGCTCCGCTCCCCATCCCGCCACCTTGAACCGGAGGCCAGCCCCGTCACTCGCGTTTATACCACCCCCGCCCCCACAAGGGCTCTGATTTCGATTTCGGAAAGGCCACAGATTAAGTGACATCCAAAACTAATCCGCCCCACTCCCAGGGCCTTGCAAACTTGGTTCTGTGGTCGGAGATATGGGGCGCCCAGGGCAAAAGGAGGAGGGTTGAAGGACAGCCACCTACTAAACATTGACTGTGGCCACACATTGTGTTCAGCACGTTGCAGGTTTACTTTATGTAATCCTCACCACAGTTTGTGGAAGTAGGAATTAACCTTCTTATTTTGCAGATGAGATAACCAGGGCCCAGAAATAGCAAGCTGGGCAACATTCCAGCCCTAGGGACTGTGGAGACCAAGGCTAGGGATGGATGGCAGTTATTCATGGTGCAAACAATCTGGCCCCAGACAAAATGGGTAAGGGGCAAGCCGGGCACCTCCAGGGTGTAGGGTGCATCAGTGAAAGATAGGGCAAGAAGCCACCAAGTGCCCAGCTGTGAGCGTCTTCTTAGATATTCAAATGTACTAGAATCCTGGCTTCCTTAGAATGAGCCCCTCCTCCTGACAAAATTATATATATATATATAATACATTATAATAATATATATATAATACATTATAATAATATATATATAATACACACAAAGGAACAATCTTAAGAAGTTTATGGGGGGAAAAAACTACATCTTTTGATCTCCCTTTTGACCTATTTTAAATTTGTTCTAGTTTTCAATATTCTCTGCTTTTTTTTAACTGAGGCTTCCTCTGTTTTACTTTGTTATTGTGGTTGGGGTTTTGTATATGGAATCCAGAATAGGCACATCTATAGCCAACACCTGGATGCAGGGTTTCTTGTGATATTATGGTAAAGGAGGGTGAGGGGGAATGGGGAGAGAATAACAAGGGGTACAAAGAAGAAGAAAACATACTCAAATTCATTGTGGTGATGATTGTACAACTCTTTTTAATATGATTGAACTACTGTATGATGTGAATTATATGCCAATAAACCTGTTTTGAAACTCTATGGGCATGAGACAGGTTTTGCCTTTGTTCTAGAACTCTTCCTGGAATGCCTTTCCCTCCTTGGCCACCAGGTAGACTCTTACTTTGCCTTAAAAAAAAATGGCTCAAATATATAAACAAACAAACAAAATTCACGGTCATCCCGTCGACGCAGAGCAACCCTATAGGACAGGATAAACATGAATGAGTGAATGACAGGGTAGAACTGACTCAGTGAGTTTCTGAGATTGTAACTGTTTACTGGAGCAGAAAGCTGTCTTTTTCCCCATCGAGCTGTCAGGCCTTTCAAACTGGACCTTGTGGATCTCAGTGTAAGGCAGCAGTGACTCCATGACAGGCCGAGCCGCTTAAAATAGACCTAAGTTTCATTTTTCCAACCTTGCGTTTCGTTTCGTTTCTCTAACAAAGTCACCCTCTCCCCCGAAATGACGCTGACCACACCTGGAAAGGTCCGAGAGATCACAATGACGCTGACCGCACCTGGAAAGTTCTGAGTGACCACAATTGGAACGTCCCGAGAGTGGAGCCAGTCAACCAAAAAGACCTGCACAACCAATTGTCTCCAGATGAAGTCATTGAACTATGGGAAGGTGAGGGGGAATAGTTTCACCCAGTTTATGTAACCTGTAAAGAGTAGAAAAGCTTGGCTTGTGCCCCAGGCCGGGGTCCTTGTCTTTGGTGACCACTGCGTTGATGCCTTAGCACTTGGGCCCTAGCTGGAGCTAGTCAATAAACTCCTTTGTTGTTTGCAGCCTCGGTGACTCTGCCTCTCTGTTCCTGGAGCCGAGGGAAAGCCGGCAATAACATTTGGGGGCTCGTCCAGGATCCCGAGGCTCCTGGAAGAGAATCCGGACCCGAGGAGGAGTTGGACATCTGAGAAATTCATGCGGTGCAGATATTTGGGCCCTAGGAGGTGACCGGCAAAAGGCCTAGGTGGACGCGCTGGGAGCGCAGGGAGACGTCCCTCACTCCCTGTCCCTCACTCCCTCGGTAGGTTTCTGGCACAGACCCACTAGGGGGCCCGTTGGTAGGGAAACCACAGGCTGGCCTTAGGGCCAAGGATTAGGCAATTGTTAAATGTTTTGTTATTGTCTCCGTTTTGTTTGTGTCTCTGTCCCCGCTTTTTGTCTGTCGCTGGCATTGTTGTCTTTCGTTTGTGTTTTAACGTTTACAGACCCAGACGACGCCTCTGTCCACCTTCCTTGACCATTTTAAGGAGGTCAGAGGTCAGGCACAAAACCTCTCAGTAGAAATCAGAAAAGGAAAATTCAGGGTTTTTTGTGAGTCCGAGTGGCCGACTTTCGGGGTGGGGTAGCCCCCAGGATGGTACTTTTGACCTTAACATCATCTATAAGGTAAAAGAAATTATTTTTAATAAAGGGCCACATGGCCACCCGGATCAGATCCCATACATCATAGTCTGGCAGGACCTGGTCCAAGATCCCCCGGCCTGGTTGAGAAAGATCCTGCCTCCAGCAGGACTCAGGAAGATTATGGTGGCAAAAGGAATGATCTGTGGGACTTTGATGGTCAGACTCGGGATTTTCAAGACCCACTGGTGGAAAATAGGGGCTGCTTTGGGGGACGTGAAACTCGTGCAGCCTTCTCGTGGACCGCTAGGAAATGTTACTGCTTGTGTACCATCACCTTATATACTTTTAGTGAGAAATGTTATTATAAATCGTAATGGATTTAAGTTTAAAATGTCTTGTAAAAATTGTAATTTGACTAATTGTGTTACTTGGACCCCTCAGGGCACTGCTATTGCCATTTGGCATCAACCTTCACTTGTTATGTCACCAGTGAATACCACTGGGCCTTGGTATTCAGAAAGAGGGTTACAGGTCTTAAACGAAATTGAGAATGCTTTGATTAGACAAAAGCGTGTTATAGGTGTGCTTACAGCAGGTATCTTAGCTGTGTTAAGCTTGTTACTACTGCGGCCATTGCACTCTCACAAGGCATACAAACTGCCAGTCGTGTTAATGAATTATCTAAAAATGTGACCACTGTGCTGGGAACTCAAGAGGATATAGACAAGAAACTAGACCAAAAGGTAAATGCTCTCTAGGACACAGTTATGTACTTGGGAGACAAGGTACAGGGGCTTAAGGTTGGATCTCGGCTAGAATGTCATGCTGAATATTCATGGATCTGTGTCACAAATAAACAGTACAACAGCAGCCAACATAGTTGGAAAGAAGGTGAAGAATCATCTCCTAGGTATTTGGCACAATGCTAATGAATCTTTAGATTTATTGCAACTCCATCAGGAAACACAGCTCATGAAGAATGCTAAGCCCCTTGATTGTGATGCCGCTAAAGCCGCAGCAAATTGGCTTCAGCATTTTCTAGATGCTTTCCCTTTGTGGGGAAGTTTCGGAGGTCTTCCTCAAGTGCTTAGGTCCTCGGCCACAGCAGGAGTGTGTGTATTATTGATCCTACGCCTACTCCCTGTGATATTGCACACAGTTATGTTTAAATTTATGACCTTAAAAACTAAGTCACATGAAGTGCACCTGCACACTTCACCCCCTCCCTGTACAGGGATGTAAGGCAGAGGCTGGCTAGCCAGGGACGGGTAAGATCGAGCCCGAGTCTCCCAACCTAAGACAGGTCATGGTCGCCTGGAAGACTACGGCTGATGATGGGTAAGGGTGATTTCGAGACGCAACAACCTAAGACAGGCACAGTCATCTGCCGACGTTTTGCAAAAGGACGCTTTTTGTAAATAGAAAAAGGGGAAAATGTTGGAGGTCATCTGCGCCCTAGTCGTGAAATGGTTAAGATTTCTCCTAACCTGTGTGCTGTTCTCCTCTGTGGTTTGGCATTCGGACAGGCCATTGAGAACAAGTACAAGGAAGTGTGCAAGTCCAGGAGCAAAAATGTAAATTGTTCTTAAGAATGCTTGGCATAGCGGAACATGAAGTTTTCCCCAAGGCAAACCAAAGTAGCGGAATAAAACGGATAGTTTCATCGCTCAATGGGTGGTGGGTGTGCTCTAAAACCGGATTGACTCCATGTCTTACTCTGTCTGTCTTTAATGAATCAGTAAAGTTTTGCATCATGGTGTTAGTGTTCCCAAAGGTTATTTACCACCAAGAAAAAGTAATGTATGACGCATGGACACAAGGCACAGCAGGTACCAGGCTAGCCAGGGGACAACGAGAGCCTTTTACAGCAATTACGTTAGCAACCCTTTCTAGTCTAAGTGCAATAGGAGCGGGCACGGGCATCTCATCCTTAGCAGTACAGCACAGAGGATTCAACACCCTAAGAGCAACTATAAATAAAGATATAGCCAGGATTAAGAAATCCATCTCCCATTTAAAAAAAGTCCCCAAGCTCTTTGTCTGAGGTGGTGCTACAGAACAGAAGGGAGTTGGACCTAGTGTTCCTCCAACAGGGGGTAGCTATGTGCGGCCCTAGGAGAGCGGTGCTGCTTCTACGCCAACCACACTGGAGTAGTTAGGAAGTCCATGGCTAAAGTCAGAGAGGGACTGGCAAAGCGAAAACAAGAACGCGAGCAGAAACAAGGGTGGTTTGAGTCTTGGTTTAACAACTCCCCTTGGTTAACTACTTTTCTTTCCACATTATTGGGACCCCTAATTGTGCTCCTGCTCATTCTTGCTTTCGGACCATGCATTTTAAATAGATTAATCACCTTTGTAAAAGAACGAGTCAATACTGTACAACTAATGGAGCTGAGACAGCAGTATCAGGGGCTCGGCCACGAATGCAGTTTGGAAATGGGGGAAATGCACAAGCCTATTCACACGCAAGAATGCTCGTAGGTGCAGGGAAAAGGGGGGAATGTAAGGCAGCAGTGACTCCATGACAGGCCGAGCCGCTTAAAATAGGCCTGTTTCATTTTTCCAACCTTGCGTTTCGTTTCTCTAACAAAGTCACCCTCTCCCCCGAAATGATGCTGACCACACCTGGAAAGGTCCGAGAGATCACAATGACGCTGACCGCTCCTGGAAAGTTCTGAGGGACCACAACTGGAACGTCCCGAGAGTGGAGCCAGTCAACCAAAAAGACCTGCACAACCAATTGTCTCCAGATGAAGTCATTGAACTATGGGAAGGTGAGGGGGAATAGTTTCACCCAGTTTATGTAACCTGTAAAGAGTAGAAAAGCTTGGCTTGTGCCCCAGGCCGGGGTCCTTGTCTTTGGTGACCACTGCGTTGGTGCCTTAGCACTTGGGCCCTAGCTGGAGCTAGTCAATAAACTCCTTTGTTGTCTGCAGCCTCGGTGACTCTGCCTCTCTGTTCCTGGGGCCGAGGGAAAGCCAGCAGTAACAGTAGCCCAACATGTGAGCACTATGCCAGCCACCAGGGCTCCTCAATATGTAAGGTGGGGGAGGGGGTCATTTCTTTGGCTGCCCCTCATACAGGTTAAGCCATTGATTCAATAAATATTTATTTTATAATAATTTACTTTGGCTCTGGCAACATTCTAAGAGCCAAGAGAAACAGGGCTCATATTCCAATGAGAGAGCCATGCTGAAAGTATCCCCCAATGGGATGGGGACCATGGTCTCACAGACATGAAGACCAGCTGGCGAAGCTGACTTCATAAAGACAGTGGTCTACATCCTGCTTTGGTGAGTAGTATCAGGGGTCTTAAATGCTTGCTTGATGCAGCTATCGGTTTCTTCCCATCCAAAGGAGGAAGAAACCACCATCACCCCCCCAAGAAACCAACAACCACCACTCGTTGCTCAATTCTGACTCATAATGACCCTACAGGACAGGGGTAGAATTGGCCCGGTGGATTTCCCAGGTGATAACTCTTTAGGAAGTAAAAAGTCTCATCTTCCTCTAGAGGGAGCAGCTGGTGGTTTTCTATCTGCTGACCTTGGGGGGTGGGAGGGGTGATGGAAACTGGAAGACAGATGGAAATACTTAGACCATAGGACTAAAAGCCCATGGCAAGATCAGACTACCACCAAATGCTCTGAAAAAGAACAAATTCGAAAGTTCTGGTTAGAACCGACCAAACCGTACTCACTGACACCAAGTCAATGGAACGTAACAGCCTCTGAGTTTCGGAGGATTTAAATTCTTTACAGACGTAGACAGCCTCATCTTTCTCCTACTGGGCCACTGGTTGAGTTTAAACCACTGACCTCGTGTGGTTAATAACTCAATTTGTAACCCACTACTACGTCACCAGCTTTCCAGGTCAGAGTGGGAGAAAAATGTAGAACAAAACCAGAAATCATAAAGGGAGACCAGGCTTTTTGGTCAGATAGAATCTAGCAGGAGCTCCACCCTTCTTCACCCTGCAGGCTTGGAACTGATCTCATCCCTGTGTTAGAATAATCAGCCATTTAAGATCAGAAGAGCATTTGGACCAAGTTCAGAAGGTCAGATGAGGAAGAATGGAAACAGGAAGTGGGATGAGCCACCATAAACTGAGGGGACTGCTCCGGGATTGAGGGGATGAGTTGAATCTGAATGTGTATGAACTGTTAAAGAAAACCAGTAACCTGCTATGTAAACCTTCACCTATGTCCCAATATTTTTTCCCTTTAATCCTCCTGCAATGGAGCTTGAGCTCGGTGAAATTACCTTTCATATTCTTGAGGTACAGAGCCTGGTATGCAGAAGTAGTTAATGAAGGTTGGCTCAATGAACGAACCTGGAGCTACCAGATAAAAGAAGAGAGAGAAAAAGAACCGCACCATGAGAAAGAATAAAACCTAAGGTAAGTAGTTGAGAGGCCCTGCCCCCAGATCAAGACAAACTCCTCCTCCGGGAATAGGACAGGGAATTTCCAAGTGGGTGTTTCTGAATCTCAGGTGCACAGTGCTTGAACTTAACAGGAAAGATTTATGGGGTAATTGTGTTAAGCTTTTCTATTTACAGTGTTTTCACATACATTATCATTTAATCCTCACATGAGGCTTCAAAGGACCAATTAAGCTCCTTTATTTAGCCTACAGCCATGGCGATGCCACTGCCCTGGGGTGCCAGCATCCAGGACCAGTTGCTCCCTAAAGGCGACCGGAGAAGACTGAGGAGGAGCAGGAGGAGGACAGAGAAGACTGAGGAGGAGGAGGAGGAGGAGGACGGAGAAGACTGAGGAGGAGTAGGAGGAGGAAGATGAAGAGAAGCCAGCTGAGACCCTGTCGGAGGGACTCTGGGGTCTGACGGAGATGTTCCCGGAGAGAGTCCGGTCCGTGGCAGGAGCCACTTTTGACCTCTCCTTTTTTTGTGGCTCAAAAAATGTACAGGTTTTCCTGGGCGGCCTTATGGATCGGGACCACTTCCTTGATGATTCTGGTTCTCCCATCTTGGAGACGGAGAAGCTGCAAATGGAGCAACAGCAGCGGCAGATACTCCTAAGGCCCAACACAGGACTGACTGTCCGGAGGACTGCCACGGCCTCTCCCTTCCCTGCCTGGGAAGATGGAGAGCCTTCACCTGTATTGAGCTTACAGGGAGAAGTTTGAATTTCAATTGTTAGAACTGCTGATTTGGGGAGTTGTTTGGTCAAACTTTGGCACATTGATCTGTGTGGAACCAGTGGGAGAATCCCCCTGCCCTACAGATACACCTGTGCCCTCCACTCCGTCAGGATCATCAGGATCGCTCTTCTGTCTGCACAAGCGACCCCACCCCTCGCTAAATTGCTCCCAAGTTGTCCTGAACGACTACCCTCTCGCTCTTCTGAGACCCTGGGAGGAATGTCCCCAAGCGTTGGTGACTTGGCTGTGTCAGAGTGGAGGTTGGGGAGGAGCACACAGGGTGCAACAGGCACAATGAATTACAGTAGAGTGGCACAAACCCCCCACTGTGCACCCATGTGTTGGGAGGAGCTGGTTCCGCTGCCTTTTGGCCGATAACCCTGTATTGTGTGTATACAAAAATGGCAGCAATTGCTTTTTGTATTTAAATATTAAAAACGATTCCAACTGGAAAAAAAAAAGATCCTTAATTCACAATGGAGGGAATTCATCCGGGCCCAGAGTTCATTCAAGGTCCGTGTACTAGTAGGCCGCTGGGTCCTCCGCTAGCCTTTCATCCCAATACTCAGGCTGCCTCTTACTACAAGCTGGTCCTCCAGGTAAAAGAAATGCAGACTCTTTACTATCACCCAATCCCCCAAATACCCTTTATCCAGTCCCTCACCCACAGATAGCAGCCCTCAGGGGCAAAGGGCACAGGTGAAGGGACCTTCAGAGTTAATGATTAACCCTTTGCTTCTCACAGCACCAAGGTCTTCTCCCCACCAGGAGGGGCATGGACTGGCCAGGGAGGGGCTGTGAGGGGTGGAGGTTCCAGAAGCAGTCATGGGGGGCACACTGTGGCCCCGGGCCCCTCGGTGGCGGCTCTACCAGGCAATTCTTCTGGCTCTCTCCATACTGCTGCTGCTCTACCTCAGGACAGGGAGTCTGCGTGAGTGGCCCCTTTCCTCACCGGGTCAGAGAGGAACCCTCCCCTGGCCCTCAGGATCCAAGCCCCCTACTCCAATTCCCACAGTTGCGTCTGACCTTTCCCCAGGAACGCTCTCTCGCTGTGAATCAGGGGCGCAGTCTTGCATCCGCCAGGAGGAACCGGTGCCCCTCCAGGTATGCCTGGGGCAGGGCTGGTGCTGGGAGCTCTAGATGAGCCTCTGATCAGAAGTGGAGACATTGGTCTGGTGAGGAGTGGGTCTTGCCCCTGATTTGCCCCCTCCCAGTAGAAACCAGGGCTACAGGAAGACGGACACCAGCTAGACCTTAGAAACAATTTCTTCACCTCCCAACTTCGCTTCTTGGTTCAGCTCCCATCCCCTTCCCCTCATGTCTCCCACCCCCCCGCAGGTCCAGCAAGAGTCAGGACCCCAGGAGGGGGAAGAACCTTCGTGCCTTGGTCCCCATGGGATGCTAGGTCGCATGATGAGGCCATTCCAGGCCAGTCTAACCCCGGAAGGGGATGTGGACCTGTCTCTGTACCTGGCTGGATGGAGAGAGCTGATCAAGTGAGTGATTTCCCCCGTCCCCTGCCTCCCGTCCACTGCAGTTCCTGCTTCCTCGGTTCCCAGACCCTCCCTCAAACCATTTACCCCAATCACACAGATTCCTAACACCCCTCGGCTCCATCTTCGCTTTCGCCACCACGGAGGCCTCCACCAAGGTCACAGCCCTGGAGAATAGGGTTCGAGGCCCGAATGCCGCGCACTACACGTCGCTGACCGGCATGACGGCGTGGGAGCGGAGGACTGGACTGTTGAAGGGGGCCGCCGGGACCGCGCCCCGGGACTCGGGCTCACGCACGACGCTCTTGCTGCACCGCGCGCTGCGCTGGTCCCAGCTCTGTCTCCACAGGGTGGCCACCGGGACACTCCGCGGCCCAGAGGCCGGCGCGCAGTGCCGCGACGCCTACAGAACCGTCCTGGCCCCGCACTTCCCCTGGCTCATCAGGCAGGCGGCCGGCCTCGCCTTCCTCGCTTTCCCGGGTCGTGACCGCTTGCTCCAGGTGGCGTGTCCCGGGGCCCGGGAAACGCAGGCACGAGCCGCGCTGGCCCTGGCCGCCAGCACCCTGGAGGACGTCTACAACCGCACCCAGGGCCTGCTAGCCGAGCGCGGCCTGCTGCACCTGGGTTGAAGCCGCTTC